TCGCTCTCTCTCTTTCTATTAGCCTGTTTGTCTGAATCTCTCAAAACCCCTTTTTTTTTTATCTCGTTCTCTGTTGTGGTCTAGTGGATGCCTCACCGGACTGATGGTTCGCGGTTCGAATCCCGCCGCGGTATATTATTCTATAGGCAAGACATACATCTACATTCGCCACTCTCCGCTCAGGTGTAGTAAGTGGATGCCTGGTAGGAATTTATTCATCTGATGCTTTTAGCTCCCGAGGGCAACTGGGCTAACGCCACAGTAATGTTATACTTATGGTTTGTAGGCGCGTTTCATGTGTCCAACATAAATGTAGCTGCATGTAGTATTATTGGTATTACTACGCGCCCTCTCTCTCTCTCCCCCCCCCTCCTCTCTCTCTCTCTCTCTATCTCTCTCTCCACCACCTGCCTCTCTCTTTCTCTCTCCCTCTCTCTTTTTCTCTCTTTCTCTATCTCTCTCATCCATTTTTAGTGGTACACTTTCTTTCTGTTTCCTGCATAATATTAAAGCGATTGACAGGTTCCATTTTTCACAGCTCCTCTTCAAACTTTATTGAGAAACAAACACTTAGATCATGATTACTCAAATGATACAGATTATCAAAGACATTGTTAAACCTCCATGCCTTAATATGATTATCATATAGTACAAATTATAAAGTAAAGCTGAAAAAATGTAACAGATGTTATTGTTTTTTTAATTCCTGGGGACCTAGTGACGAGTTATTCCATTATCCTGTTTTCAATGAATAAACCATATACAATACTTTGAATCCAGTCTACAAACATTACTTGAATGATATGACGGGCAAGCCTCGAGAAAGCTTACGGGGTGTCATGAACAACCTTCCTTCAAACAGTATGTATACATAAATTGAATATGTTAGTAAAACCGGTCTATTGGACACAAAGTCTGTTATAAACATTTGTTTTCATTCCAACCAAAACAAAAGCCACATTATCATCAATATAGTACATGCCATTACAGAGTATCCTTCCGAATTTCCTACATGCACCCCTCTCTCTTTCTCTCCCCGACCCGGACCAATAACATATTTGTTTAATACATTATTTGAGGTATTCTGCTTTCAGTTGTACTTTCACCCCCCCCCCCCTCCCCACCCCTTTCAAATAGACCAAAGTAGGATCTTTTCACTGTGTGCCAGCTGAAAAAAAAAATCATGAATAGCCCGTGATGTCAAAACTTTAAAAATATATGTTCTTTGGTTGCCAATTTTTGTTGTTCCTATCATCATAATAAAAAAACTTGTTGCCAATCATGCTAGACACCCTTCTCTTACTCAAACTGTGCTTGCGACGCCCCACTTACAACGTACAATCCCAACACATCCAGTACTCTTAAAGCTCTCCGTACTAATGTGTAGCTTCATCAGTGACAGTGGCTCCATGTGTTTGGGGGGGGGGGGGGGGGGGGGGGAGTAACGGCGGGGACTTGTGCCCACATCAAACTGACCGAAAGAGGAGAAAGGAGAAGGGAGAGGGAATTAAGGGGTATGAACAATTACGATAGGTGCACCCCTCCCACACTCATACCCATTAAACCTGGTGCCCTGTTAATTTGCGCTTCAAGAACGCTTTTACACGGTTCTAGGACAATTACCCCCTGGGCAATCACCCCCGGAAAGTTACCCCCCGGAAAACTACCCCCCAAGGACAATTACCCCCCGGAGAATTACCCCCCGAGGACAATAACCCCTAAGGACAATTACCCCCCGGAAAATTACCCCCCGGAGAATTACCCCCGAGGACAATTACCCCCAAGGACAATTACCCCCCCGGAAAATTACCCCGGAAAATTACCCCCCGAGGACAACTACCCCCGAGGGACAATTACCCCCCGAGGACAACTACCCCGAGGACAATTACCCCCCGAGGGACAACTACCCCGAGGACAATTACCCCCCAAGGACGATTACCCCCGGAAAACTACCCCTTGAGGAATTACCCCACGAGGACAATTACCCGCCCCGAGGACAATTCCCCCCCCCCCCCCGGGGACAATCAGGATTCAATAGCAAAAGACGATCTGACACGTTGAGAGATGTTGTGAAGGCTACGAGCCATAAAACGGTGCATGAACCCACATTCGTTCAAATACTTGCGCGTGATCTTCCTCATTACTTCACATTTTTCTTTAACTATAATGTATGCAACAACACTGTGGTTGCTGTTTTCTACGAAGGATTTCTCTTGTGCCGTTATTTCAACTTTTTGTTCGACACGATGCCCTCTTAAGAAATGAAAGTTTCGCCCAATCTTAAATTCTTCACAAAACTATTTATTTTGCATCACTTGGCACTCGTCAAGTGCTATGTACACACGTATGGGCACATTTGTTTCTTGATTTAGTGAACGAGCAAGAAAAAAACAAGGACAAGACATTTTCAAAATGGTAAAACATAATGTTGTAATCAACACACTAGCACAGATTTAAGGTATGCGGGCGCCTCATCGCCGAATGTACACGAATATAAAGTGAAATATTCGGTCATGACCTTGATACACTAATATGAGGATATTCGGGCCTCTCGTTGCCTTGATTCATCATGTTTTATAATTGTGATGAGTGTGGTAAACAATGTAATGTCGAAATAAAAGATATATATTCGCAAAATATTGTCAGCGAGCGAGGAAGAAAGACATTTTATTATTTGTTTACATTTTATTATCTCATGAAAATAAATACTCTACCCGTTTCTGATATTTGTTTTTCACAAAATCAACGTTTGCCAAAAAAAATTGTCATGTAACTAACATTCTCTTGCGGCACCCCAGTTGAAAAAAACGCTGCTCTGGAATTACAAAATCATGAGATGAATGTACCCAAGTGCGGATACTTATTTTCTTTTAATATGGCACCGTACACCATATATTTAACTTGAAGGCAATTTTTATTTCAAAATAAATTACAGTACAAGAAAACATATTTTAGTTCACCATGACAACAGAAAGATATATATATATATATATATATATATTACATTACATTTATAAACATGAAGAGAACCTTAATTTTGGAATAGATCATTGATGAGGGCCCATTATACATACAAAGACAAATATACGATCAGCTGATTAGAAAAGTTACAGAGGATGCATAAATAATGATATCTTACATCCTAATTTCTTTGTCGGGCCATTTTGGGGGAGATAGCTGTATTAACGCGTACTCATCTGCGCGCAATGTATTGTTCAATTTCTAAGAAATGTAAATCCCATACTTTGATTTGATACATGCGTCTTATGGCAATTGAATTCGATTTGATACATGCGTCTTCTGGCAATTGAATTTGATTCAATACACGTGGCATATTAAGTCATACTTCACAAAGGTGGAATGGATACAGAGTGAGGGGTGGGTGAAATCTCCTCCTAGGAGGATACATGTACGTCAAGCAAAAGATTTGGCAGATGGTTACGAGGGCTTTGAATGTGAGCTACGAATATAAATATAATTTATACACAACCCCTGTACGAAACAAATCTATTCCGTCATAAATAACTAAGAAAATGAAAGTTCATGACATTTTCTCTAAATAGCAATTTGAAGAGGAGCTCGCATTATACGTCACAGTGTTACAAATTCCCTGGGTGTGATTGTCCTCGGGCCGCGGTAATGGTGTTTCGAGGGGGGGGGGGGGGGGGGTAATTGTCCTCGGGTGGTAATTGTCCTCTGGGGTAGTTGTCCTCGGGGGGTAATTGTCTGGGGGTAGTTGTCCTCGGGGGTAAATGTCCTCGGGGGGTAATTGTCCTCGGGGGTAGTGTCCTCGGGGGTAATTCTCCGGGGGGGTAATTTTCGGGGGGTAATTGTCCTTGGGGGGTAATTGTCCTCGGGGGGTAATTCTCCGGGGGGTAATTTTCCGGGGGGTAATTGTCCTTGGGGGGTAATTGTCCTCGGGGGGTAATTCTCCGGGGGGTAAATTTCCAGGGGGTAATTGTCCTTCGGGGGTAGTTTCAGGGGGGTAATTTTCCGGGGGGTGATTGCCCAGGGGGTAATTGTCCTGATACGCTTTTACACCAGTGCCGCTATTATGATCCATTAATCTCAGGGCCCACACTAAGCCTCTGGCTCTGATCTGACGAAAAGCCATCAAATAGAATTTAACAGTTCTTCAAATCTCGTCAAATTCTGTAAGTTTCTCGATTGTCTGAACTGGCTGTCTTTTGTTCTCGATGCATTCGATTTGAAACCCTTGGCTACATGATCTGGTACGCTAAACTTTCCTTTGGAGTGGTATAGATCTGTCGATCCGCTAGAATCTGGGATGAGTGAGTTGGCTAGACGTGTAAAACGAGGATCCTCCATCAACTCTGTCCTATCCGATAGCTGCAAGGCGCGAGCATTATTATTTGCAATCTTCTTGGCTCGCCGTTTCTTATTTCGCGAGGTCGTGCGTGATCTCAGAAGCGCGATCTGAGCTACGACCGTCAACGAAATTGTCAGATTGCTTCTTCGACTTCTTACTGCCGTCATCGGAAGAGTCTGCACCGTCCTCTTTTCCAGCGTTGAGTCTCTTGGCAATAGAGGCAAAGTTGATCTTTTTGGTGCCACCGGGAGTTGCACTTCCATCGCCTTCTGTTCTAAAGCGCTCGACCAATATTGCGGGGCTTTCAGGATTTGCGAAAAGACTCAGATCTGATGAGCTCCACTAAAAACTTTCCACGGCTGGCAGGCTTTTGCTCGGCATCTCCATGATTGGTTCCGTTCATTGCATCTGCATGATCTGGCGAATTAAGTCTAGATGGTGGTTTGCTCTCAGATGTTTGCCTAATTTCATTTAGCTGTTTGGTCAGTAAATTTTTACTGATAGACATATTTTGACTGGTTGGTCGTCTACTCTCACCAGGGGTATTAGGGTTATCCATAGGCACCTGACCCGACCCCTTCTGACCTTTTCCTTCATCCTTGCCGAAGCTACTCGCGATGCTACCTCATTTGCTTCTGGATCCTTCCAGGATACGATTCGTTTCTTCCTCTCGTTGATATTGCTGATACACGCTCTCATGTAAGGACTGTTCAAGAATCGTTCAGTCTCACCAACTGCGGAATCATGCGACTTGTCTCTGGTACAGCTCAAAGGACGCATATACCCCGGGGACTTCCCTCTGGACTCTGCCCTTGCGTCATCTCTCGAGAAGGAATCCCTTGTCTGTTGATGCAGAGCCCCTACTGGATAGATGTTGGAAGATGTGAACGGTCAGTATCGCTTGTTGGAATCATGGGTGATCTACTGCCATCGCGTCTAGTCAGGTTCTTTGCCTGATCGACCTTCTGCTTGTGATGGACGAACTCTCGCTTCTTCTGCTTCATCTGTCGCTTCGTCTGATCCTCATCTTCCAGGAGCTTCTCAAACTCGCGATTGAATCGTCTCACCTCGTAATCATTCGTCTCCATGATGCACTTCCCAACACGACTCTCTACGATGTTCCTAGCCATCTCCAAGCCTTCCTGCGATCTATGATTGACTTCTGAGACACTTCCTTGGTTTGTCCTTGATTGTTGTACGTGGACATCATCCCAGAATCGCTGTTAGTCGAGTTGGTGATCCTCAGCCCAACCTTCCCGATAGTCGTCAGCTTGAGCTTGCGTGCGATGTCGATAGCGCCCTGCTGTTGATGTATCGAGGCCCTGGTTTATCACGGGGGTTCTTCAGCGAAGAAGGCTTGTTGGTGTTCTGTGGAATCCCCATGATCCTCTCCATGCGAGACATGACTGCTTAGTTGTATCAATCAATTTGTTCTCGAATAACAAAAATTAGGCCAGTGGAGCTCTAGCTGCATCAGGTGGTACTCATATGCGACGACCAAAGATTCACTTGATTATACAGGCATGTTCATCACCCTCACGATCTGAAGTATAAACAAAACAGAAGAAAAAGAAACATATTTAATTAAAACATTTTCATAACGACCGGGCATAAGAAGGAATAATAATTGACTGTTAAATCTTCCACAAACCCCATGAACAATGACGTTGTAACAAAGTAATTCATTACAAATTACAGAGGCGTCAGCCCCAGATTCACCAAATATTTTATGGCAAAATTTCACTTAATAATCATAATGACCAGACGTGAAAAAGTTTGTCATTTAAGACTAAACTCTGCAAAGATTTCCCCCAATTGTGTCTGAAGGCAAATACTGATCAACGAATACATTATTTGGGTTTTCTGTTGTATGCAGAAACATAAATAATGTATCCTTTCATCATTATTCGACTTAAAACACATTTGTTTTAAAATCCATATGAGTCTTGAATAACATCCTTTTACACCATTATTATACAATTAAAGTATAATTTTGCCATCAAACTTTTGGGCTCCTAACATTCTAGAAGAGCACCCCTCCCCCCCCCCCCTCCGTTGATGTGAATGTTTATTTTATTTGTTTAAACAAAATACATTCATGTTTGCTGCTAGTAGTTGGACAATCCAATGCTATAGCTATAACCACAGGAAAATGACGGAGGGAGCTGCATTTCCCACCACCCCTCTCCCTCCCCCACAATAAAAAATAAATCCCACTTCATTTGTGGGAAGTGAGATTGTCTATTCACAAGTTCTTTTTGTCTGGTATATTTTGATGACGAAACGAGCATTCCGATTTTTTTTTTTTTTTTTTTTTTTTTTTTTTTGAGTTGTGACATTTTTATTTTTCGGGGATGGGGGGGGGGGTGGGGGTGGGGGGGGGGGGGGGGTGCGGGAGAGGAGGATACTTTTTTTTGGGGGGGAGGGGGCCAAAATTCAAATATAGGCCTATATATATATATATATATATTAGAGAACTTTTTTCATTTTTTCCCTTCTTTTTGGGGGCCCGCTTTTGTTTTTTGTTTGTTAAAAAACAGGTAACATTTTCGTTACTATCCTGTTTTACAGTTTAGGGGGGATGGGAGGGGGGGGGGGGGTGCGGGACGGTGGAATCGGCCCTTGGATCCGCGCCTGATGGAAGCCACGTCGTCTTTTCCATAGAAAGGGATGAATTTATTGTGGTCCCCACCTCTTCCCCCATTAGACTTGGCAGCTTATTGTCTGATCATAACTGCAGTGAATGACAATCAGTAGCACAAACGAGTCTTAACGATGATAAAGGCTACGGCAGGTTACTAACAAATATTTATTCTCTTGTATGCAAACACACAAATTTTGCAGTGAATCAATATCATCATAATCTGTCATTGACAAATGAATCTTACATCTTCTCGCCTTTATATTTGCAGAATGCACAGCCTATAGGCTGTACATTTTGGACAATTTAAACGGAGAGTACTATAGAATTACATTAAACTAAGGCAACACGGCTTTTGTTTCGTGCCTTTTGTTACGTCATGATTGATCAAAACAAATACTTTTGATACCACGTTTATACAGGCTAATTTCAGAAAATATGGAGGGAGTGTGGAGAAAAACTTTAATTCGAAATAGTTCAGGGATACAATCATATTTTCTATTAAGAACAACGTTGCTTTCCTTTCAGTTTCTTTACCGCTACCTCTAGCAATGTTTATATTTTATTATTTGCAACTGTTATTAATAGAACTTGTTAAAAGACAATTTGCTTAAAACACACAAGTATTGGCAGGAGAATGAAATTTGATTGTTCACTGAGCATGATATCTAATTTTATTTAAATCATTCGGGAAATAAAAATAAAAATTCAGGAAAATGTAAAAATGTATTAAAATAAGATTTAACTTGTCTTACACAGAATGAGATTTCGCTTATCAATTTAAATTAAATTCGCAACGTGATCATTCAACAGAGGAATGGTTGAGTTTCACCTGCTTTTGCAAGGTGAGATTACCTGAAGTGTTGCGAAAGAATTGATTGCTGTTAGAATGATATAAATTCTGTATCATATACCCCAATTCAATACTCCTGTATTTGAGAATATTAGCGCCGTATCATCATCATATCCTTACAAGACATCAATAAACAGTATCCGGTTTCGGTTAGAATACGATACTACATTCATCACTCAATGAAGGTGATGACCTGTGGGCAACTTTGAGCCTGTGCTTATTTTTAGGAGATCAGAAATTAAACCTTTCACCTGAATCTCGAATTCCACATACTAATCACTCCTCATCTCAGGTAGCTATCCCCAATACTTGATACAGGAATCCAATGCCTTTACCTCCCTTCATTTATATAATGTATTTGTTCGATGTAATACACTTTCAATCTTGAAGCTGGAATATAGCTTTCTTACCTAATTTTGTGAAATGATATTATCAGTACTTATGATTTATTTCGATGCATACATTCAATAAAGCTTTTTGTTGTCTGCATTCTTATTTTCGTTTTCGAGAGGGCGTCAATTCAAGCTCATGCTTCATCTTCTGTATACATTGTCATTCCATACATCAAAAGTTGTACGATTGTATTTTGATGTAAATTATGTTGACGTATATGGAACAAATAGATATCAAATCGAATCATCTTAGAACTCTATTGATCCATTTAAAGAGTCATAGGGATTGATTTATAAGGTTATGAAAAGAAACTTTACCCGTCAAGAATAAATCAAATTGTCACAACCATTTCATGGTCAACAGTGAATGTACTTAATATAGCTGAATGTACATGAAAGTGCTGGATATTTAAAAGTCTCACATACTAGTTACATATTCATGATACTACTCAGACTTCTCTATCCTTCTTATACCTTTTATAATATATTCATTTGATGGTTTTAGCTTTCTATAATTCATGCAACTTTACAAGAATAAAGTGTTACCAGGGACATGTCACTAATGCTACTGCAAAACTTTAGCACCAATGCAATTATCTATCATCTTTTTACGACTCTACAAAACACTGAATTGTTAGTCTTACATTGTAATAGATGCTTTTACTGATGTTATTATTATGTAATCATTTTTGTCATTATTTTTTTAATCGCATGTAGCATTCAAATCATGAATCATACTATACCTGTCATACACATTATTATTATATGCTACGTTGTAATCATAGACCAATATACTACTTACCGTCGATAAATTCAAGGTGAGAATAAGCCATGCAGGTCCTTTCGTAACAAAACTTTTGCAGTCGAATATTTGTTTAGTTTTTTTTTTTTGCTATGGTCCGTCCGATGAGTCAAACATAACTGAGGATGAATGTGCTCAGCTCCATGTTCCTATCTTTTCCCCTCCAAATCATGTATCATGACTCGATAATATTCTCCGTGAGCCAGTCCTGTATTACTCCGTTTGTATCAGTGCTCGCGTATTAAATACAACAGTTATTATTCTCTATAATCCAAGTCATCACACTGTACAGCCCCTTGCACTGTCCCATAGGCGTCGGTAGTACTATTGTCAGACATCGGAGCGATTGAGAAGGGGTACGAGTCCTATTCAATGTAGCGTGTGTCGTCAGGGTAAGCTAAATCCCTAGCAACGCGATCTATAGCCTGAACTATGCCCCAGCGATCAATGACTCGAAGGCTATACTTTTATCACAACGCTCAAACTGAGGTTTGGGGTTACCTATTATGTTCAAGTCCTCCTCTCCCCCCCCCCCCCCCCCCCCCCTCTCTCTCTCTCTCTCTCTCTCCCTCTCTCGCTGTTTCCCTTCTCCCATTGTGTTTTTCTGTACGTGTCTCTTCTCTCTCTCTCTCTCTCTCTCCCTATCTCTCTTCTCTCCCCTCACGCTCTCTCTCTGTCTGTCTCTATAGGTATAAATCCCTTTCACCAGTTGCACCCTCACTCCTCGCCCCCTTCTCTTTATTCCTCATTCTCTCTCTCTCTCTCTCTCTCTCCTTCTCTCTCATTCTCACCTCTCTCTTTCTCTATCTCCCTCTCTTTTTTCTTCTTCTTCTCTCTCTCGGTGCCATATAAATCGACAATACAGACAATCCAACCAGTCATCATAATTATTAAACGTCATCCTCTACTCATCTTGCGATTTATTTTCACGTGAATGCCACCTTCTCCTAACCTTCTTTAATTTATAACGTGCACTTTATATCTCATCTTTCATATAATGTTCATATTTTCATTTATTTCATATTTTCTGCGCAGGCTAACCCAATAGAATTACGGAGTGAGAAATAAAGCAGAAGGGGTGATGGCTTAGTTGTGCGAGTAGTCTCATAACCGGATCATCCCTGGTTCGAAACCACTGAGTGGCCGGGTCCCCCTAAATGACGTATACTGCTGTAGCCTCCCGTCACCCCCCCCCCCCCCTCCTCCCCAATTGTCACCAAAAGCATTATCTGCTCGCTAAACAAAAAAAAAAATCAAAGCTCCAATATCAATCAATCAACCATATATTATCATTGAAGAACATTTCTAAATTATTGTCGTTTCCTTTGCATTTCCTGCTTTCTTTTCATTACCACGTTACTCATCATAGTCATATTCTTAACATGTTGCTCCCTTGCTGCCAAGGAGTGACCGACATTTCAAGATGTCAGCTTAACACTAAATTGTTATGCTAGATATAACCTCTGTATTAGTGTTGGATCCAGTACGTTCAAAGTGTTAATTTACCAATTTGAAAAAGTGGTCACTCCTCTCCCTTTTAATTGATGAATTAACATTTAAGTTTTAATGTATCCTACCTCTCCCGCTCTTTAAAACACCACCGCCCCTAGCTCCCCACCCGCCTTGATAACTATTTCGAGTAAAGGAAATTACTTTTAATTTTCAATAGCGAGTATGAACGATGTAACGGTACTAAAAGCATCTCTTCGCGCTCCAGATGTTCCGATAAAAAATTGGATTGACCTAAATATAGCACGTCAGAAGATTTACCGAGCTCAAACATCACATCGGCTCACTGCCACTATCTAGCTCTTGATAATACTCTTGGCATACACTCGCAGGTAAATAATGATAATTGTTCATCATCTCACAGCACTTAGACAACTCTTTTGTCTCATTGCAAGCCATTTTGTACTTCGAGGGGGGGGGGGGGGGTACAGAGAGCCTTTTGTTCAGAGGATCATCGTGATCAAAGTCATATTAATTCCGAAACACACAAAACATATCATGCAGGTTCATTTAAATCCTGTTTGGTCTCTCTTTCCTCTCTCTCTCTTTCGCCGGGAGTGTGCTGTACAGCAGGATTTATGCATGAAAATCTTTCCATTTTTTCTGTCTTGAGCCTTTTCTTTCTTCTTCTTAGTATGCATCATTTGTTTGGATAACATCCAACATCATAATTCTTTTCCTTCCCCTTGTACTATTTCTTCCATCCTTCCCTCGCTGATATTTATCAGGAGTCCATCATGCCGTAGAATCTTCCCAGCCCATTATTTCTTCTGTCTCTCCTTCCATGATATTACTAACTTCCGCTCCTTTCCCGCACTCTCTGTAAAACGTCATCGTTTTGTCTTTTGTCAGTCTATTCATCCAACTTATCTTTCCCATCTTCTTCCACAGCCACAGTTTAAAGATCGCCAACCTTTCTCATTCTCTATTTTCGTGTTTATGCCCCCCATACACACTGCAAGTGTCACCTAGGGCACATACCTACCCCCTAATATACGGCACCTGCATATTGTATGCAGGGGAGGGGGGGGGGGAGGGGTAACGAATAGTTTTGTTTATGTTTACATTGGAACTATCTGTTTAAAGGGATTGGGAATATTTGCCTCAGATTCTAAACAAAATCGTGGATTTAGCTCATTCTTCAATCATAATAATAAACCTTTATGTCAGTCAGGAATCCCATGACTTTTACAAGCCCATCGCCTGTCTGATTATCAAGATATTCATGATTGGAAATCGAAATTTCAAAAACTATTTTCCTAACGGTTTTTATAACGCTACAGTCTATTTGGGGAAATGAGCATGGTAAAAACCGGTCACTCAAAGATTTATTTATTTATTAAAATTTTTTCGGAGGCACTTCATGATCATTTTGAAGGGCGATTTTTATAGGGCTCCAATATTTCACCATATCACAAACACTGTAGTAAGGCCATGCATCTCACGATGCCTTTAAATCGAATCATAAAACACATGAACATGTATTATGTCAACAAATAGTATAATACCAGCAGGCGCGTACGCAGGGGGGGGGGGGGGTTGAGGGTCGAACCACCCCTCAAATTTGTTTTGTGTGTGTGTTTTGGAGGAACCCCCACCTCTCAATTTTTTCGGTACACACACAAAAAAGAAGGTGCTCTTTTTATACTCTGGTCGTTCAATTTAGCGTATATCGGAAATTCAAATTTATTCCGTCTAGCATGTTCACGTTCCTAAGTTCCTTCAAATTCATCGGTATTTGCGGAAAGGTGATTATACATACCGATTTAACTTGTAATATTTCATTTATATTTAGCTATCTAGCTTTTGAAAGTATAAACCTACGTTCATTATAGACAAACATTGATCGAAGAACCATGATCATTACCATCTATAGTACACATATCTCAAAATAATTGTTGCAAGAAACCTGCTAAAATATTCATTATGACATCATTATTAAGATGCACGGCACACGTGGTACAGAAGAAACAAATAACCGAATTACATAGCATACCACAAGCAAAAACATGATATTTATTTACAACACTGCCCATCCAAAAATAGATAAGATGACTTTAAAAATATATTCTTTGGATTTTGACAACAGCTAAATTGTACATTAAAAAAATACACCCATAGATAAAAACTCACACAAATTCATCATGAAGAACTTCAGAATTAATAAGAGTAAGCAAATCTTGAACACATTTTGATTATAATTATAATGAAGGAGAACCGCGAGTTCCTATTGTTTGATATTGTTACTCATATGATTGAGAATTGTTTTTCTTAATTCGAAAGGAATGATTTATACTGCATTTAGAAAGATCAATGCTCTTGTTAAAATTATATATATATATATATATATATATATATATATATATAATGTCAGGTGAGAATAAGGTATATATTTTCATTCATTTCATTTCAAAGACTTTATTTTCTGCAATCAAACAAATCAGTTATACAACAAATATGGATAATTATATAAAACATAAGGTATGCAAACAATATACAAAATATAGAAACAAATGTATAATACATGAGTAAGAGTAAACTTATACGTTGGGCCATTGCGTGTATAAAGAAAGAAAGCAGAAGGTCGCCGTTATAAGCAATATATAATATACAGAAGGAAAAATAATAACCCCAAAGTATGATGTAAACAAAAAAAATAACATAAACAAAAAGTCTGACAACGTAGTAAAGTAAATATTACTAAAAAGATACCATTACCTGCTACTTTTGCTTATACTACAAATAGCGTGTTTGCATGAACTCCATAACGTAAGAAGGCGTATGAGACAGATAATCATGTAACTGTAATTAATAGAAGTAATTTCATATTTTCTGTTAATCAAAATAATACATAAATAAGTATGCGGTGAAACAAAGGAAGTATTCTTTGTTTGTAATATAATAATACATTTTGTATGTTCAGTCAAGCATATGAATCATAACATAATTTTGGATATGAAATTATCAATGTACATTTTATCATTTAAATTGAAGCTGTGCTATATACAGATATATATCAAATATTATTACTGCTTGTTAACGCTAGTTGTACAACGACAAGTAAAAGAAGGTTGTTGTAAACATTATTGATTGATACATTTCTTGACACATTCATGTAAAGTTATTTAAGTTATCCGATAATTTTACCTTGAAATATATTATTTCGTCCCCAAACTTGTTTCTAATTACCACAAACTACAGTGCGACCCAGAAAAAAACGAAACCAAATATTATCGATGTTTTATCATAACTTAATCACAATTATAATTAATAAATGACACATATTTGTAAAGCTTAGATCCTATTCTCTCGTTTGGGTCGCACTGTATAAGCAGTGACATTCTATTTATAATTCTACAATGCGCTAAATTTCAGTCTATTAAATTCATGATTTCCCTTCTTTGGAAAGCAGAACCTCGACCCCATCAGCTAATAAGCAGAGCTTTCTATATACATCTTTCGAAATATCAATGTATATGCATAACGTTATTGTTTCATGGGGGGGCTGTTTACCAGAAAGCATAGCTACACTTTGGAGGTCAATTTGCCCCAAATCCCTTCGTGGTGCCCCCCCCCCTCAACAGTGTGGTCCACTCCACCCCACATAATTGCTTTAATAGTGAGATTTCAATTTGGTCGTATTTCATATATGTACATGAATAGTATGTATCTCTATTTCTTTTGATAAAAAAGTCATGGAGTAATATTTCACGTTTGGCAGCAAAAGGGTCGATTTAGATAATTCGACAAAAACTAGCTTGCGCGAACGTCAAACATGTTTCTCTCCGAAATACGAATCCATTGTCAGAGCAACAACATGACAACGTAGGCACTGCCTTTTCCACATCAAGTTAGGCTAGGATCGTCCCCGAGGTCATTACAAAATCGGATTATTACATTGGTCAAGGGT